AATAAGGAAGCCTGTTATTCTTTTCTTCTTCTATGGTGAATTTTAAATTTGTGTGAAAAGAATTCAAAATTTGAAGTATTTGAGTTATTTTATTTTTGCGTATTATCGCGAAGATATCATCTACATACTTCGTTAATAATCTTGGTTTATATTCCTGGTCATCCATACACTTTTCCAATAATTCTTCCATCACGATGTCTGCTATAATGGGTGATAACGGTGAGCCCATTGGCATGCCTTTACGTTGTTTATAAATTTTGTTGTCTAGCATGAAGTAATTATTTTCTTTAAGACAGAAATTTAAAATTTCGAAAAAAAGTGATTTTGTAATCTTTGTGAATGTCTTGATTATATTCCACTTCTTTCTAAAATTGTAATGGCTGGTTCAACCGGTATATTCGGAAATAAGGATACTACATCAAAGGATACCATTATTTCATCATCGAATATATATGAATTACCGACCTTATTTTTAAAATCAATTGAGTCTTTAACATTATAAACCGAATGTATGGTCAGATTTTTTAAAATTGACGCTATATATCGACACAATTCGTATGATGGTGAGTTAACTGAAGAGCAAATAGGCCTAAGTGGCATATTTTCCTTATGTAATTTAGGTAACCCATATATTCTAGGTGGGTTGGCTGTATATGTACATAATTTTAGTTTTTCTGTTTTGTTTATTATTTGATTATCAAAAAGTTTTGTGACTATTGTATTATTTTTAGTTTGTAACGTTGAAGTTGGATCTCTTCTGAGTATTCGGTATGTCATAATATCATTTACTATATTTTTAATTTCTTTGTCATAATGTTCTTTTTTTATAGCAACTGTTTTGTTGCCTTTATCAGATTTAAGTATTAAAATGTTTTTATTCAGTTTTAAAAATTTTTTCGCTTGTTCCACTGTGCGCAATATGTATTTTTCCATAGGAGAATGTGTTATTTGTCTTTTATACCTTTCAACCATACCGATAAGTTGTGTTCTCGCTATTTCTTGCTCTTCTTTATTTTCTAAAGTATTAATGCAGTCTTCTCCATCTGTTAAATACTTAAGAAGTGGAAAGCTTTTTTTAGAAAGAGGTAGGGAGAAATTAGAACCGAGAGAGAGAAGCCACTGCACATCAGCTGGGAATTCTATATCAGTTTTGTTTATAAACCAGTCTTCTTTTATGTTTATGTCAAGCGATTTTATTAATTTAAGTTTTAATTTTTCAAATTTTTGATCCAATGAATTAGATTTTTTTGTTATTAATTTATTGTAAAGGATTTGTTCATTGTAAATAAAGTTCATATAATCATTTTGGCACACTAAATTTTGAATTATATTTTCTGTTACCGTGATATTTTTATTATTTTGTTTAAGAAGAATATGCTTCTGTGATATTATAAGATTAAGTAATTTTTTTTGGAATGTATTAATATGTCACAGAAGCATATTCTTCTTAAACAAAATAATAAAAATATCACGGTAACAGAAAATATAATTCAAAATTTAGTGTGCCAAAATGATTATATGAACTTTATTTACAATGAACAAATCCTTTACAATAAATTAATAACAAAAAAATCTAATTCATTGGATCAAAAATTTGAAAAATTAAAACTTAAATTAATAAAATCGCTTGACATAAACATAAAAGAAGACTGGTTTATAAACAAAACTGATATAGAATTCCCAGCTGATGTGCAGTGGCTTCTCTCTCTCGGTTCTAATTTCTCCCTACCTCTTTCTAAAAAAATTTAACAGATGGAGAAGACTGCATTAATACTTTAGAAAATAAAGAAGAGCAAGAAATAGCGAGAACACAACTTATCGGTATGGTTGAAAGGTATAAAAGACAAATAACACATTCTCCTATGGAAAAATATATATTGCGCACAGTGGAACAAGCGAAAAAATTTTTAAAACTGAATAAAAACATTTTAATACTTAAATCTGATAAAGGCAACAAAACAGTTGCTATAAAAAAAGAACATTATGACAAAGAAATTAAAAATATAGTAAATGATATTATGACATACCGAATACTCAGAAGAGATCCAACTTCAACGTTACAAACTAAAAATAATACAATAGTCACAAAACTTTTTGATAATCAAATAATAAATAAAACAGAAAAACTAAAATTATGTACATATACAGCCAACCCACCTACAATATATGGGTTACCTAAATTACATAAGGAAAATATGCCACTTAGGCCTATTTGCTCTTCAGTTAACTCACCATCATACGAATTGTGTCGATATATAGCGTCAATTTTAAAAAATCTGACCATACATTCGGTTTATAATGTTAAAGACTCAATTGATTTCAAAAATAAGGTCAATAATTCATATATATTCGATGATGAAATAATGGTATCCTTTGATGTAGTATCCTTATTTCCGAATATACCGGTTGAACTAGCCATTAAAATTTTGGAAAAGAAGTGGAATATAATTAAGACATTCACTAAGATTACTAAATCACTTTTCTTCGAAATTTTAAATTTCTGTCTTAAAGAAAATAATTACTTCATGCTAGACAACAAAGTTTATAAACAACGTAAAGGCATGCCAATGGGCTCACCGTTATCACCCATTATAGCAGATATAGTGATGGAAGAATTATTGGAAAAGTGTGTAGATGACCAGGAATATAAACCAAGATTATTAACGAAGTATGTAGATGATATCTTCGCGATAATACGCAGAAATAAAATAACTCAAATACTTCAAATTTTGAATTCTTTTCACACAAATTTAAAATTCACCATAGAAGAAGAAAAGAATAACAGGCTTCCTTATTTAGATGTTGAATTAATTAGACATAATAACCAAATTCACTTTCAATGGTATAAAAAGTCTTCAGCGTCAGGAAGATTAATTAACTATAATTCCAATCATCCTAAACACGTGATTTTATATACAGCATCCAATTTTATTAGAAGAGTTCTAGTACTGAGTGACAAAATTTTCCATAATGAACAAAAGAACATAGTGCGTGATATTTTAATAAAGAATGACTTCCCCGTAAGGATTATTAATATGATGCTTAATAAGACCTTTAAAAAGCTCCAACCTAGCAATAATAATGCCAAAAAAATATATATATCCATTGATTATGTTCCGAAATTGTCAAACCAAATAATGAATTCTAGTATATATGACAAGGAACGTTATAAAATTACTCATAAGGCAACAAACACAATAGCTAAATTATATAGCAATACGAAAACTAAAATTAATAATAAAGACAAATCTAATGTAGTGTACCAGCTGAATTGTAAAGGTGACGGGTACAATGTATGTAACAAAATATATATAGGTACGACTAAAAATAAGCTTAGGACAAGGATGGCTGGACATAAACACAGTTTAAAAAATAAAAGTGGTGCTGAAGCCAATACAGCATTGGCTGTGCATTGTATGGAGCATAAACATGAACCTGATTTTGATAAGGCAAAAATTTTATATGAAGAAAGGAACCATAATAAGAGGTACTTTCTAGAAATGCTCTCAATACTTCAAGTGCCCAATAATATAAGACTTAATTATAAAACTGATACGGACAACTGTGCTCAGGCTTATAGGAATATTATAAACAAATGACACAGGATGTTTGTAAAGCTTTTTTTTGTTTTTTTTTTTATAAATTTTTTTTATAATTTTAATTTTTCTTTTGTATTTTTATTGTTGTTTTTTCTCTTGTTGTCATCATTATTATTGTATTTATTGTATGATTTTTCTTTATAATCCGCTATAAAAAAAATGTGAACATCCTATATTTTGTGTAGTTTTCCCTGAAGATGACTATCGAAGATAGTCGAAATATCGGAAATAAAATATAAACGATTTTTAAATATAAATAATAAATTAGTGACTTTTTATTTATATTAAAATTTGACCAATTAGCCCGGTAACAAATTATTATAATAATAATTTTTGGTCACAAATATAAGTATTTAATAAATATATTATTTTTATAAGTCAAATAAATAATTTTGAAGCAGATCAAATTTATTACAGAGGCTCTATTCTGTGTTTATGTATATCAAATAATGTCAATATTGGCATTATTGAAAATTATTTTGCACTCAATAGATACCAACAATTTAGTGCATTTAGTATTTATTTGATACTTTGAATTATAAAAGATATACTGAACATTGCTGTCTTGTACATGTCCCTATAGTTTTGATAAACATCTTGATTTAATGCGTTTTCTACTGCTTCGATGCTTTTTATTTCTATTGTTCTTTCAATTCCTTAAGCACACTAATTTACTACACTAACTGCAGCTCTACTCCCAATGTGAGTCTCATTGAACTTCAGCTCCATCCAATTTAAATCGCTGAGTTTCTACACCCCAGCCCAGATTAGCTTCAATAAAAATCTCACTCCTCCATAATCCGCCCTTATTCTCAAACAATCCCTTCCCTTTTCGCACTTCCTTTACACAACCACATCGTACGCAATTTTTTCAGGTAATATCATATAGACCCACTAAGACTATATTAAAGCTAGAAAGTTTTGAAACCTCAATGATAAAATAAAACTAAATATATTAGAAATGCCTAATAAGCCTCATAAAAAGTTTCAGTTGTGTGTCTATTAATCAGACTAACATTAGTTATTGATAACTATATTTTTAATAAATACAATTGGTAAATTTTTTAAATTACATCATATTTTTTTCTAATGAAAATATATTTATCTAAAAGCTTAATTAATTAAATAATTTATTATAATACTAATGTTCTTCTGAAACTACCTTAAGCATACCAATTTCATATATTAAAACTTTCAAGCTTTACTGTTGTATAAGCAAATAATAAAATGATATTTGATATTAAAAACAATAATAATAAAAATAAAAATTAATTAAAAAAAATGAAATTTTATTACTATACAAGTATTAAGTTTATTAGTATATGTGTATTCAAGTCTATTAATGAGAAAATGAAACTTATTAATATTCGATAAGTTTTAGTAGAAACAATTGACTGAATTTTTAAGTTGTCATTCCACAATTTCTAATCAAAAAGTATTTATCTTATACCTATTAAGAGTTAAAAATTGAACACGTAAAGTAATTAGAATTCTCGGCGATGATATTTGTCTGGCTCAAAATATGAAGTCACTACAACTCGATCACTAAATCTGCGTCCTGTCAAGGCTTGTTGCGCTTTCTGACAGTCAAGTATAGAGTTGAATTCCACAAACACTTTACCACAACCAGGTACGTCTACACCTTTAACTGGACGTGGAATTTCGATACTGCGTACAACTCCATGCTTATTGCACTCGTTCTTGATATCCTCTAAGATGTCTTCGTACTCTTCCTCATCACGTAGCTCGTCAGGTGTTACCATATTAAACAGGCATAAAATTTCAGTAGATAGTCCAGCACTGATTACAGTTGTTAAGCCTGGAACCTATAAATTTAAACATGTGAAAATGTACGTTTAAAAATTTATTCTCAAATTCTACTTAACGACCTGTAAAGTTACGGGTGTGGCTAAAATGTTAAGCGCTGCATTTTTAGCACCCACGCTAGCTCGTTGCACAATTAGTTTTTTGTCTCCCAATTGCATTCCATTTAAACCAGCGATTGCCTTCATAAGAAATTTGTTTAACATTTAATTAACATTAAATTTGAACTTTTATTTACTTGATCAGTTACGTTTAAGTCCGCATATGCACAGAATGCATAACCCTTACTTAATCCAGTTGCGGAATCTTTAACTAAATTAAATGCGCGCAGATAGCCAAAGGATAGCAAAAGTTCCTTAACCTATGGAATATAAAAACAACATTTGGTATTACATTAGCAAGAGACAGTAAAGATTTTTGGACAGAAATAAGGAAAATAAATGGTGCAAATCATGTTAAAAGTATGAAACTAGACGCTGATTTACTAGCAAAACACTTTCAAAAACTACTTAACTGTAAAATACATGAATATAATTTCAGCTATGCTTTGCCGTATGTAAGAATTGAAGAACTAGATAAAAAAATAACAATAGAGGAAGTGCAAGATGCTCTTAACTGCTGTAAACAAAACAAAGCTCCCGGCGTTGATCGTGTGCCAGCAGAATTTTTTAAGTATGCTACACCCTCGCTGACACAAAAACTAACGCAAGTCTTCGCTCACATATTCGAAAACACGTCAGCGCCAAAAGAATTTAAATCATCAATTATTTTTCCACTTTTTAAGAAAGGAGATAAAAATCATGCAAGTAATTATAGAGGGATATCTTTTCTAAACACAATTGCGAAAATATTCTCTACAGTAATAGCTAATAGATTACAGAAGTGGGTAGATGAACATGGCCTAATCAGTGAATATCAAATGGGTTTCAGAAAAAAATACTCAACTATAGATAATATTTTTATATTGACAAATGTAGCAAGAACGTATATAAAGAATGAAAAGAAGCTATATGTTTTTTACGTGGATTTCCAAGCAGCGTTTGACACCATAAATAGAAACTCATTGTTTTATAAACTAAGTAATATTGGTTTGTCAACGAAGATAATTCAGATGATTCGAAGCCTCTACTGGGAAAGTAATGCTGCGGTCTGGGATGGCAATAAATTATCAGAATGGTTTAGAACAAATATGGGAGTAAAACAGGGGTGCGTTTTGAGTCCTTTGCTGTTTGCACTGTTTCTAGACGACTTGACAAAAATTTTACCCGGTGGTATAGAATTTGGTGGAGTGGGCTTAAAAATCTTAATGTATGCAGATGATATCGTATTAATTATCGTATTAATAAATTGAATGAATATTGTAAAATGTGGAGTTTAAAAATAAATATTAATAAGTCGAAAATCATGATATTCAGGAAATACGCAAGAAAACTAAGAGCTGAAGAAAAATGGCGGTTGGAGGAAGAATACATAGAGGTGGTTAACCAATTTAAGTATCTAGGGATATGGATAACTTATAATACATGTTTCGGTAAACACATCTTAGAGAAATTAAAAGAAGGTAAATTGGCAGTAAACAGTACTTGGCGTAAACTCTTAGGGAACAAAGAAGTCTGTCCAGCGGTGAAACATAAAGTTTTCGAGACGGCAGTTAGAACTATAGTAACATATGGGGCAGAAGTTTGGGGTGTGGAGAGATATGAAGAACTGGAAAAATTACAAAGGAACTACATTAAACGTGCATTTCATTTACCAATAAACACACCGAACTATATGTTACATTTGGAAACTGGATTACCGTCGTTACATATAAACACGCTTAGACAACATTTCAAATATATAAATCGAATACTAGTTTTAAAGGAAAGTCGTCTGACAAAAATAGTAACTCAAAAATTATTAAGCAATAAAACCTTATTTTTCAAAAACTGGATGGATATGGCAACAGAATTAGATGAACCTTTACAAATACAAGAGACTAGATCCTGGAAAATATGGCAAGAAGCTATAATAAGTAAGCAAACAAGCAAAGAACGAGTACAATTCGAGTACGCTGCGAGAACGAGCCTAACGAGATCAACGTACAGTAAACTAAATTACGATTTGAAGGATAACAATTATTTTAATTCCAAGTACAGAGAAATAGATATTACAAGAATATTTAAAACACGAGGCGAACTATTACGCTTGGCATATATTCCTTACGAAAGCCAAGTAAATGTAGACTGCACCTTTTGCAATCTTGGGGTAATTGAAGACGTCCAACATTTTATGGGGATCTGTCCTATATTACAGGAGATTAGGTTTAAGTATTTTAGAAAAGTATCTTTAGAAAAAACAGATGTAATTTCATTATTAAATGGAGAAAATTGGTTCTTGCTTAGCGCTTTTATTAATGAAGCAACTATTTATAGAAAAAAAATAATGGACGAAATATTTTGAAAGAATTTTAAATATTATATAAATTAACATGTACACCTTTTAAATGCATTTTTATATAAATATGAAACTTGTACGTTAAAATTAAC